TGTAATAAATGAATACTTTTATTCAGCAAGGATGCATTGAATTGATTAAAAGTGGCAGTAAAGGCATTTATGAGGTTACAAATGATTTCTATTTCTAATAAATAAATAAAATCAACTTTCTATTCATAAAAAAAAAAAATCCTAAAAACATTGTAAAAAAGTATTTGTTTTTCTGGCTGTTGACAGCATTTTCTGATTTAAATGCTGATAGAAAAAGATCCCAAATCCCTTCTGTAAAAACACTTAACTCAAATAATTTCAAAATGAATCAAGAATTTTGAACCTGGCTTTATTCGGTGTTCAGATTTCTGTTCTGGAAATGTGTGCCTGTTTAATTAGATAATGCTTATTTGCATAAGTATACATAACAATTCAAGAAACTTGCAATACAAAACTAATGTCTGAACGTAATGTGATGGATAAATTCCTGTGGCTCAGTGGTAGAGCATTGTGTTAGCAGCGCAAAAGGTTGTGGGTTCAATTCCCAGGGAACACACATACTGGTCAAATATGTATAGCCTGAATGCACTGTAAGTCATCTGCTAAATGCATAAATTATTATTCATTATTAAATTATTAAAATTGTGGACTGATGGTGATATCTATCAGTTTAACGTTTTTACTCTATACAACTGTGGTTTCTTGCTTTGAATTAAAAGAATCATTCAAATTTCCAGGATTTTTCCAGGTTTTTCACGACCGTGACAGCACTGCGTCATGGAGTTACACTGTATATGTTAAATGTCTAGCTATTATTTCAACTAACTGTAAAGCTAAGCAAGGTTCTTACAAAGAAAACGTGGTGTAAACGAAAAGATATTATCTGGCACATGTAAATATACATTGCTAATAATGTGTTGACATTACCCAGGTTTTCCCCGTCCATCACTCTGGCAAGGAAGCAGCAGATCGTTCTCTGAGTGGGGTGATCTGACCTGTGGGAACACGACTCAAGATCATCCACTATACCTGTGGAATAAACAATAGACAACAAATGAGAATACAGTACAAACAACATCTCCAGTAAGATTAAAAATAAATAAAAGCAAAATAAAAGCATCTAGCATTAATTATTATAATAAAAACAATATTTACTACACTCAAAACACATTACTTTCAAATAGTTTCAAAGTTTTACGAAACTCCAGCGCAGATCTGTCTCTGAAGAGCCGACATAGCGACGCGAAGTAATAATCGATCATCCATGACTGGACAACACCCTCGACTTCAGTTACATTTATTTTATCAGTCGTGCTGGATATTATGTCATTCGACGACCCCTCCATCTTCTTGTTTATGTTGAAAACAAACGTTCCCGCCGAGCGCTGACTGTTCTGCTGGCGGCGTCGCCGAGCGCTGACTGTTCTGCTGGCAGCTGCCGGCGCGGAGGAAACAACAATAGGAACGTTTTATGGTGGAACTGAATAAAAGCTTTTCTCAAAATCTCACAACTACGTCAACAACGAGGCGTATTTTACATATTATTATTATTATTATTATTATTATTATTATTTTTTTATATATATTTTTTTGAGCTGATTTTGCTGTGTCCGAAGGACGTTTGCCATTTCCGCAGGTAGGCCTAGCTCCAACATGAAACAAATCATTATTTTGGTGGGAAAAGTACAGCAGAAGCCTTGGATTTGATGAATTATGTGATGTGTTGTGTAGGTGGTTTGTTTGACTGAATCTAAAATATTACATCCTGGTCTGATAAAAGTAAAGACATTGGAACTGGTAGAAATCGATATTTTTTTAAAAATATGTTTAAAATATACAAAATATAGGCCTAGAAGAATTGACCATCATGTAAGTTTCATAAGTTTATCTTCTTATTTCCAAACTGTTAATTATATCATGTTAATTATATTATACTCGTGTAGATAATAAATGTATGTTTATCAACCAAATTAATACAATTATATTTCCTTTCATATAAATGACAACATAAGCATTTTCAATGCTCTTTAAGTTCTACCTGACAGGATTGACCTGTATACACTCTATTATATACATAAATATTTTAGACAAGCATATAAACTACATTAAAATCAGAATCTTAATGACTAATCTATAAAATCCCTGAATGAACTTTAACTTGGATTTACTTCAAATGGTTGAGATATTGCTTTCAGAGGAAAACAAAAATTTTTTTTGTTATATACATAAATATTTTAGACAAGCATATAAACTACATTAAAAGCAGAATCTTAATGGCTAATCTATAAAATCCCTGAATGAACTTTAACTTGAGGATTTACTTCAAATGGTTGAGATATTGCTTTCAGAGGAAAACAAAACATTTTTTTTAGAATAGAAGCAAGTCTGCGATTAAAATGATCTACAAACACAAAGATAGATAATAAATGAGGCTATATTTTCCTGTTCACGCTCTCAAAGATTGTGTAGAAAATAAACTAACACTAGGTGTCACACTAGTTCAAACAATGAACACGTTTGCTAACCTGGCATTAGGGATGGAATTTGCTCAGATAAGGATGAAAACACAAAGTTGTGCGGCTGTGTGTGGAATTCACTTCTGTAATTACGCCAAATTTTGTTAGATTTTGATAAAAGATGTTAAATGCATTTTTTTTTTACAAAATATACAGAGCAAGGTACTGAACATAACATTGCTTCAAAACTACTATTAAAATTATGTTATTTTATAGAATAAAACATTTTGTATTTATATATAAAAAAAGCAATGAAATCATTTTTGTATGTAAGTAATTCTACACTTTGGACTTTTAAAAAAATATATAGCCTACTGTACCGACTGGAAAAGCACCCGTGAGAGTGGAATATATAGGCTGTGTTTGATGGCCAGGGGGTCTTAATATGGCAAGAAGCTAGTTTATCATGTATAATACCACCTTTTTTTCTTTTTTAATTTTGGATTGACAAAGTTATTGAACTAGTAAAACGTTCCTGCTTTTGTCTCAGGCTGTGAAACCGCACAATATATTAAGTTTGATTACATGCCAATCATGTAAACATGTTTATTATCTCTTGTTTTCTCTATGTTCAACAGGAAATACACCCAAGAGTGAGGACAGAAGAGACACTTGAAGAGCCGCAGGTACACTACCTTTCAAAACTTTGGGTCTGTACGATTTTTTAACAGAAGTCTCTTTTTTTCATCAAGGCTGCATTTATTTGATCAGAAATACAGTAACATTTATAATATTATGAAATACTATTATAATAATTTTTTGTATTTCAATACATTTTAAAATGTGACCCTGGAGCACAAAACCAGTCTTAAGTCGCTGGGGTATATTTGTAGCAATAGCCAAAAATACATTGTATGGGTCAAAATTATAGATTTTTATTTTATGCCAAAAATCATTAGGACATTAAGTAAAGATCATGTTCCATAAAGATGTTTTGTAAATTTCCTACTGTAAATATATTAAAACTTAATTTTTAATTAGTAATATGCATTGCTAAGAACTTCATTTGGACAACTTTAAAGGCGATTTTCTCAATAGTTTGATTTTTTGAACCATACATCAATGGAAAGCTTATTTATTCAGCTTTGAGAAGGTGTATAAATCTTCAAATTTCAAAAAATGGACCCTTATGACTGGTTTTGTGGTCCAGGGTCACAAATTTATTTTGTTATTATTACACATTTATTTATTTAATTTATTTCAATGATGGCAAAGTCCAATCTTGAGTGTGATCTTTCAGAAATCTTTTTAATATTCTGATTTGGGGCTCAAGAAACATTTCTTATGATCAGTGTTGAAAACCGTTAATCTTTTTGTGAAAATTGTAATTTACTTCTTTTCAGGATTCTTGTTTTGAATGTGTTTAAGTAATCTGTGCCATTTTTTAATGTCTAGCTGTTGTGTACTATGAAGAGGAAAAGGGTTGAATAAAGACAGGAGATGGACGTTGCAGAACACAAGTGAGTTATTTACACATTTATTTGTTATCCTGCATATGCTAGTAGACTTAACATAGACAATGCAGTTTATTTTACAGAAATGTTGACATACATGTACCATGACAAAGTGTTCTGTGATCACATAATTGTACAGATTACTACATGCATTCAAAGATGCTGATATGTGCAGAAACAGTCTGCAGCTTAAAGGTGTCTACGGACATTGAGATACAAGATAACATCATTTAAACAAAAACAGAAAAGAGGCAGAAGACGTGAGAGGAAGAAATACAATGTAGCAAGGATGCATGGGAGAACAGGCTATGGGATGACACATTCATATTTAACCTCGCTTTCAAACAAAAAAATAAAACCACACGCTTGCCATGACGATATATATCACAAATGATCATGTGATGAGAAGCATGCTTGTTCACAGTCCATCAGCTGTTAGAGTTCATTTTACCATTTACACACGAGCAAAGTCACACAGACCCAAATCCCTTTGCATCTACTGCTCCCATAAAGGCTAATGGGAGATGCTTCTATAGTCATATGATGACATGCTACAGATCAATAAGCAGTTGATTGCCTGGAGTGAGTTTTGAAGAAAACAAAAGAGTTTAACAGTACCGACTTTGAGCCCCACTTATTTGCCTTTATTCAACAGGTGCTAAATGATGTGAATCTTTCATTTGTGCAATAGTTAAAACTGTAATTTTGAAATGCCACAAAAATGCGCATGAGAATCTGCCATTGACAGATAAAAATACTGGGATACCAGTTATAAATAACGTTTATCTTATGAGCTGTTCAAATGATCAGGGCTCTGAAATTGTATTTTTGAGCATATGCAAGAACTTATAAGACATGAGACATTTCATTATATCATATTTCGTTTTGCTTGTGCTGGCATCACTTAAAGGGACAGTTCACTCAAAAATGAAAAGTCTGTCCTTATTTACTCATGCTCATACTTTCTTTATATGTTTAGATATTTTGAAGACCGTTTTTGTCCATATAATCAAAGTCAGTGCAGCCCAAAACAACACTGAACCCCACTGACCTTTATTGTATGGACAAAATATCAACTATGTTCCACAGAAGAAAGAAAGTCATACAGGTTTGGATGGCGAGTAAATGAATTTCTTTTAAACAGTTGTTGCTGTGTATGTGGTACTGAGGAAATTGTAGCAGCTTTAACATGCTGAAAAAATATTTCACTCTAAAAACAAAGTCCATTCATTTACCATAACAGAGTTGCCTACAGCCGGTGCTAGCCAGGCACAAAATTTGTTACAAAACTTCATTCACCGATGACTTAACCTTCAATATTTATATACAGCATCGCCATATAATATTTGGACACTTAAATTTCATACAAAATATCACACTAAGTAGCATTTGCAAGATTTTATTTTTCAAAACTAACTGTACTTTTCTTTATTGTTCAAAGTAATTGAGTCATACTTTTTCCTACCAGTTTATACTGTACATTAATATTTGACAACCAAAAAGTGTCCAAAATCTTCTGTCTTTTATTTTTGAAAAATGTTTTGCTTTAAAAAGTGTGCTTGTGCTATGTATCTTTAAAATAAATTCTACTTAATTTGATATTTTGTAAAAAATATCATACATTTTGTCCAAACATTTTTGGGGCCACTGTATATGAGGCATATAACGCACAGCAGGGAAGCTGACCATCCTGTGGGAATGCATGAGATGGGCCATTATTCAACAGTCTATCAAAACAGAAACAGGCATGTGACGACGCTCTTTAAAAAACAACGACAACAAAAGAAACAAGATGATGCGTTCTTTAAATGAAGAAAACATAGACATCCACCATATCAGAAGATTAGTGTCGTAGAAAACCTGAGAACTTAATATTACGCATATCTATTACTTAAAGACCTGATTTTTTTTCCCCCTATAAAAAGTATAATTTTCTGTACAGTGCTATATGAACAAAGCCAACTGAATTGTTGCCTTCTCATAAATGTTTATGAAGAGGCACGCATCATTTCAAACTCCATACGGCAGGAAATTGTGGTCGTGCAGAATTTTGGTTTAGAAAAAATAGAACCACTGTCAGCATTAATTGATAAAACAAAAATACTTTTTATGAGCCCATTAAATCATTTCAAGAGTTTGTTTTTCATATTTCAAATGAACCTGTTTGTAGACATTTATAAAAGACCCTCCTGGTCTAATTTGTCAGAAGAATCTTATTTGAAGAGTATAACCGGAGTGAAGTATTTTTGTAAAACGTCAAATCTTTTTTATTTTTGAGTGGTAACACTGATATTTCAAATATTAAAGATATATCATCTGAAAAATACAATTGAAGTCTCTGCCTGTACACTTACAAATCCATTAGACTGTAAATAAAGTGCCACAATTCTTGGCCTGCATAGATTGCAGTATGCTGTATTGCACTTTCCACCATAGCGTAACCGCCAGAGCCAGCTGAAGTCTTGAGTTCCTCCTCCTCCTCCTCGTCTTTTTCACAATCCTCGTTCAGCCCATTCAGATTGTGTGATTTTTCCAAACACAATGTACATTTTGAACAATCAGCCAACTGCCATGCCAAAGCAAGTAATATACACACATTTCCAGCAATCTTGGAATAAAGGCAACACAAAATGGATATTCTCTCATGTGACAGGAAAAACATGTCGGCCAGATGGTAATGCATAACTCAAAAGAGAACAAAATATTCTTGAATACTCTGTAAAACCAGACAAATGTGAGTTTTTGTTAAGAAATGACTCAAAGGTCAGGCATCTGAATGATACAGATATGGTGAAATATGAATAATAATGAAACAACTCATGTGAAAAATGTTAACTGTAGTGGCATTTACACTACTGTACTCTCGTCAAATGAAGAAAATGATTAAGTTTGATGTCTGTGTGTAATTGAAAACATAGTTTGTGTTTTGGTCCTTTTGAGAAGTAAATATAGCATTACTAAGAGGACTGTTTTTTTGAGTTTTAACAGGGAAATATGTGAAGAACATTTGTAGGTTTGAATGACCAGAACCACTAATTTGATAACACTAATTATTCTAATACCACTATGTAGACTAGTTTTTCTTAAACTGACTGTTTGCTGTGCTATTGAATATTTGAGTATGTAAAGATAAGCTAAGACATACATACCCGCTGTTTCCATGTGTTTGTATGATATACGTTTAAACCTAAAACTTTTTTTTGAAAGTTGACATCTAACTTTATCCAGGTATCGCTCGCTATGGCGATACATAATAGTCAATATATAATTTGCATTTACAGCTACTGTATATTATCTGATTGCTATTCTCATTTGGCAACTACAGGTGTATATGCAACTCTGATATCAAGAAAAAAGTGGTGCAATTCATCTGGTCATTCAATCGAGATTTTGATGCTGCTAATTTGAGTACCCAACCAAAAAAAAATAAATAAATAAAAACAAACAAATAAAACAAAATAAACCCCCCAAATAAATATGTGACATCGTAGACCATTCCTAAAACACAAACACATCTGCATAATGTACACATTGCATTTCTACAGAAAGTCATGATATGTTTCAATACGTCGCTACTTTTCACAGTCTTTGATGAAAATTCCCTCTTTAAAACGGAAAAAAGGCTAACAAAAACCCTTTTGACATCTATTATGCCCTCTGTGGCTATGTGCATTGTCATTGCTGTTGTCTCTATATTTACCGTGGAGTGCTCTCAGCAAACTAAGCACCGTAAAACAGCTTTGTTAATATGCATGCTCTTGTAGATCTGTCCCCCTATGGTTCCGTTTGTCTCTAAAAAAATAATAAACAAGTTAAAAGGTAAAATGTACAGGTAGGTCAACAGTGTCCTCATTGTTGGGTAAATACATTCTAAACAAGCCTCTCGTTTGCACCCACATCCTCCAGGTCTCGTCTGCAAGAAACTGCAGTCTCTTTTGCGTTATTGACAATGACACACTTACAAGGGACTTTTCATGCCATGCAAAAATATCTTTCAGACCACATCTGAGTGCCTCTTTCTCCACCAGTGCGCTCCACTCTGTCCGAATGTCAAGCCACAGTCACATACCGGTTTCGCAAGATGGCGAGTGATTGCCATCCCCTGGCATTAAATGGATCTCCGGCGTAAACATGTGGTTCTCTACCTTGTGTTCACTTTGGTTTGAGTCTGGCTTTTCCTCCCCATTACCACCGACTACCACTTGAGTGCAGTTCTGTGCTGCTAGTTTGGGCGAGGAGATGGCTGCAGAAGCCACTTCCGTTTGGTTCTGTTCCTCATCGTAATCCTGTTCCTCCAGGTTCCCCAGAAGCAGTGCCGTCTCCCCAGGATGGTATCCACCGGCTAGCATCTTCGGAGAAAGAACCAAGCCTTTCACTGGGATACTACCCAGCATTTCCGAATCTGAACAAAGAGGAGAGCACTCTCCCTCCGGGGAGTCATCTTCCAGAAGACTGTTGTTGATATCCTGTGGAGAAGATGTGTTGGGCGGTGTCAGAGGAGCGTCCTCTGGCGTTTCGATGAAGTTGACTTTGAGGCCCTTTGTCTTCATTGGATTTGTGCCTCGAATGGAGCTTCTGATGTTCTCTATGACCTCGTTGAAGTTCTCCCCATCCGGTGGCTTGTCGATGTCTCTGTTGAGAGTCTCAGAGTTCTCCTCCGGACTCATGTCAGAGGGTGTTAGCTGGCCGAGGTGAAGTTTCGGAGGTACTTTTGATTGCCTTTGCTGAATCTGCTCTGCTGTATAAGAAGGGGTGGATGCCTTCTCACCCTGTCCAAACTCAGCAGTGCAGCTCGCAAAGCTGTCAACGCTCGATATGCTCCTGACATCGGTGATTGCTCTTTCCTTGGGTTGCCATTCGGTGGCCATTGGGACTTCCTTCATCTCCAACTCTACCTCATGGTTTGGCACAGCTGCAGGTTGTGTGCTGTTGATTGTGTTGAGATCCGAGAAGGACTGTGTCTTTGTCATCTGGTTATACATTTCCACCAGTTTCTGAGCGTTCAGATGCTGTGGACTCGGCGTTCTCACGTATTCCCGTGAGCCGTTTGGGTCGCTGTCGGGAAACTTCTTGTCAAAGGATCTGAGGCTGGTATCCGAGGATGTGCGCTGTGGAACACCCCACCGGCTCGGAGAAAGGTGGTTGTCCATTGGCCGTTTATCATCACCTTTGTCCACGGCAACGTCCATTAGCTCCATACTTCGTGCGAAGGCATCTTTCAGGTTCATTGAAACAATGCTGCCATTTCTCTTGGCTCGTTCTAAGGCCTCTCTTCTCTTGATGGCTTTCTCCTGTCGTTTCTGCTCCTTGTAGAACTCGGAGAAGTTATTCACAATAATAGGGATGGGTAAGGCAATGACCAACACACCAGCAATGCAACAAAGTCCTCCGATTATTTTGCCAAGCAGAGTCTGTGGGTAAATATCTCCATAGCCCACTGTGGTCATGGTGATTGTAGCCCACCAAAACGAAGCTGGGATGCTGGTAAATTTGGTTGCATCCTCATCCTTCTCTGCAAAGAAGACCAAACTTGAGAATATCATGATTCCCATGGCTAAAAACAATATGAGTAAGCCGAGCTCATTGTAGCTGCGCCTGAGGGTGAATCCAAGAGACTGCAGTCCTGTTGAATGTCTTGCCAACTTCAGAATCCTCAATATTCTCATGATACGGAATATCTGCACCACCCTCCTCACGTTCTGGAACTGCAGCACGCTTTTGTTCGACTCGGTCAGAAAAATAGTGACGTAGTAGGGTAATATAGCTAATAAGTCAATGACATTTAGTGGCCCTTTGAAGAATTTCCACTTGTTTGGTGATGACAGGAAGCGCAGGAGATACTCCATTGTAAACCATGCAATACACACGGCTTCAACGTGAGCGAGTTGAGGATTGTCATTGGCTTGGCCAAATTCGTCTGTCACTTGGAGTTCGGGCAAGGTGTTCAGGGAAAGTGCAACAGTTGAAAGAACGATGAACAGAATGGATATGATGGCTAATATCTGCAAGAGAAAGAAAAAAATATGCGTAAGTCATTACCGTATCACGTAAGTGATATTCTCATTAAAGAATATCATTATGATTTTTCTTGGTTCATTATGCAAAATTTACAAAAGATTTTGTGCAGTGCTAAAGGTAAACTTGCAACAATATGTTTAGTTAAATTGTGTACTTTCTTATGAAATGAAAGCACGAGCGCAAAGCCTTTTTGTCTCTCTCTTTACACACACACACACACGTTTGTTTTTGTGAATTGTGGGGACATTCCATAGGCGTAATGGTTTTTATACTGTACAAACTGTATGTGCTGTTGCCCTACACCAACCCTACACCTAACCCTACCCCTTACAGGAAACCTTGTGCATTTTTACTTTCTCAAAAAAACTCACTCTGTATGATTTATAAGCGTTTTGAAAAATGGGGACATGGGGTAATGTCCTCATAAGTCACCTTCTTCTTGTAATACCTATGTCATACCCATGTCATTATACAAATTTGTGTCCTCATATGTCACACACACACACACACACACACACACACACAAAATCTTATTTTCTTAAAATAATGTTTTTAAGGATCCATTAAAATGAAAGGCAAATCCATTTTAGTGGACAATTAAATAGAAAGTTAATATTACTTTCTATTTAATTTTCTACAAAAATTGGATTAGTTTTAAATTATTTATGGATCCATTTGCTTTGCAATTAAATATGGTTGGCAACAAGATTAAAGTTAAAAAATATTCTAACATTATTTGTCTTGATTTTAGCCTTTACATCCTCAAAAGCAATCACTAAACTTTCTTTTGCATGCCTCTTCTTGTGTATCTCAAGCATCAAGATCAATTGGTCCTAGAACAGCTCTGGAAAATTTGATAATATAAAAACACAGTAAATCCATTTTGTTATGATTAGAGGAGTCAGATTTCGTGCGTGTTTTGTTTGTGTGTCGTAGGTGGGATCGGAAACCATAAAAATAAGGGCATAAATAAAACAAGTACAAAAATAGCATCCCATTTTCTTTGATTACCTGTGTTGAAGGGGACCTCAATGAATGAGCGAGCATATGGCATGAATATCAAACAAGAGCATGAAGTGACAGCTCTCTACCCATAAATAGCTTCAGTAAATGAATGAGTGGGAGGATCAAGCGTGAGCAGACCTTCCTGCCACTATTGACCAACTGCAGGTTGAGCTTTTCCAATCTGAGCAGGTCGAAGACAACAGCCATGCCTTCACCCATGTATTTCTCACTGCACCCTATCTGCTGGGAATAGTTCATTCAACATGCACCATTGGTCACCTGTTAAAAAAAAGATATCTTGCTTTTTTAAAGACCTGGCAAATTCTTTGTTCCCTCAATGATTGTTCCATTCTTTATTGTCTGGCAATCCAGTAAAAGAGGGATTTGGTCATACGTAACTTGTCACATGGACACGCCACCTGATGTACTGCGATAATGTTCTTTATCTAGTATTGCTTTGTAATCTCCTGCATCTTCAGATGTTTTGCGAGATTGTGATGATGTACAAACAAAAACTCCCAAGAGCTCAGCTACCGAACAATTCAAATAATGCCATATATGATTAAACATCACTAGAATTTCTGGTTCCTTTTGCATAATTTGAAATGCTAAATCAGTTACTTAAGTGTCTCATATATCTAATTTATATTCCTTTACAAATATTGATTCCTGGCCAATGTAAAACCGCATACGATTTATATTATATTATATTATATTATATTTATTGTTATTATACATGTAAATTTAATTTAATTTAAATTTTTAATTTAATTTAATTTAATTTTATTTTATTATACATGTAACTTGTGACAAGGACACCTTAAAATAAAGTGTTACCCATTTATTTCCTGTTTTAACTCTGCTAACGCAAAACAATATTCGATAAATGTCTTAATTAATCTCTAGAGGTCAAAATAGCAGCGGATAAAAGGTGACTATTATTCTGATGGCGGACGAGAGAAGGTCTCCAGGAATATTAGGGCTAATGAATCAAATCTTCCATTACAGACCTAGAGCCTTTTATAAATGAGAGTAGGATTGATATTTATGAGGAGAGACGTCTCTCAATCATCTCTAGCACAGTTCAGGTGATTCTGAAGGGTGCATAACTTTCTCTGACCTTGACGTGTCAGATGAGCGAACACTCTCCTTTCCTTTGTAGAATTCTGTCAGGATTACACGGAAATTGTGGCTGTGTTATTAATGCAATCAACAGCAAGTTTCAATTTAGATATTTCAACTTATGAGGTATTTTAATAAGATGGTATGAATGTGTAAGAAGAGAATCATTCTTTAAATTTAAGTATAAAGACCAATTAAAAATATTAAGCATGAGAACATATACTGTACAACATGGTAAATAACCTTTAAAAGTGACCTTTAAATAGTCACTGTATTAAAATAGTATGTGGAAAATATTATTTTGGATGCTAGGGGGTCTGGGTAGTCAAAGTAAATGTGTTCAACATTAATTAAATATATTTATTTTAATCAATATTTATATTGTTTCAATCTGCTTTCTACAGAATGGTTGGAAATCATAAGATTAAAGGGTAACACTTTAGTATAGGGACCAGTTCTCACTATTAATTAGTTGCTTATTAGCATGCCAATTAATAACATATTGGATGTTTATTAGTACCGTATTGTCCCGAATATAAGACGATATTTTTTTCTTGGAAATACATCTGAAAAAACGCGGTCGTCTTATATTCGGGCCAATACGGTACTTATAAAGCACATATTCTGTATGACCATGTTCTACATCCCTAATCCCACCCAATACCTAAATTTAACAACTACCTTACTAACTATTAATAAGCAGCAAATTAGGAGTTTATTGAGGCAAAGTCGTAGTTAATGGTTTGTTAATAGCAAGACTGTCATCATTTAGTCGACCACAAGTTGTTCCAATGAGTTTCCTGTATGACTTTCTTTCTTCTGTTGAACATAAAAATATATTTTGAAAAAAACATGGGTTTCATGAGTTAATTTTTAGTTGAACTATGCCTTTAATAATGATTATTTTATTCTATTGACAGTCCTGGGCCTTGATATAAAATAAATATTTTCATCACTACTGTTCAAAATATTGGTTCAGATTTTTTATTTTAAAGGAATTAATACTTTTATTCAGCAAGGATGCATTAAATTAATCAAAAGTGACAGTCAAGATTTCTGAAGGATCATGTGACACTAAAGACTGGAGTAATGGCTGCTAAAAATCAGTTTTGCATCACAGAAATATATATATATTTAAATATATAAAAATAGAAAACAGTTTTGAAATTTTTGAAACTTTTGAACAGTAGTGTACAGGATATTTTAATTTGCTTTGGTCCCACAAAAGGGGCTCATCATTCCTTTTGTCTCTTCTGTGTTGATTTCCACTATGGTTCTTGCACCATTAATGCAAATGATACTGCATATGTGCAGAAAGTGATAGTGATGTCATAAAGGGAGTGGCTTAAGTGTCCGCTTGTTTAAAACACTGAATCCGTCCAATATTACAAGCCGACGGCATACATGGTTAAACCATAATATAAAGCATGCTCAAGACCAAAGATCTGGCCATGAAATGAGCTAATGCGTTTTATCTCAGTCCACAGAGTTCCCACTGTTCTACATTTTGTAAAGTAAGAGCACTTGTGGTTCAGGAAGTATTATAATGAGCACTCGGTAGAAACCTATTAGCAGCATGTCCCATCAGTCAAGCATGGATTTTCTGAAGAAGTGTGAAGTCATGGTGTTCCGAGGACACTGAGTGCCGTCTCACAGCTACTCTCCTGAACAACTTCAATCCCGTTCCGGATTACAGCAATAGTGACGTGTCCTTTATCTGCACTGCATGTACTTGTCCATACACACTGTGTTGTGGAATTCATTTAGCTACAAAAGTCATAAATTTTATTTAACCTCCCGCCCTAACTCTTTCTAACAGTCACATGCTTGCACCTTCCAAACAGCAGGAGCTGCATTGGAAATCACATACCCACAGGCAACATTACAGAAAGTGGGGTCAAATGAATACGGATCACAGTGTCTGACCTTATTTCCGTGAATCCTTTAGAAGTGGCCTGCATTAACTTAAATGAAGTGGGAGTTGTTAAAGAGATAAGTTACGATGCGCATCCATGTATGCGTCGCGGCTTCATTGGGATAATCCCTTTAGGAAGGACAACTATGGTCCTCGCTTTCTGACCCAGGAACAGCTTGCAAGGTTGCCTGTCCATTAACGTCATTGCCTAGGAGGACACACATTGCCTGTAGTTGTTTTGTCTGTTACAAAAGCTCATCCAGCAGCTTCCAATAAATCTATAAAATGTGTTACATGAGCTTTGGGATTAAATGTTTTGTCCTGTGGTGCAAAGGTAAGTGTAACAAAAAGGGAATCATGCCTCTGAAAAGACCTGGCATTGGGGCAATGTTAACAAAATTGCAGAAGACAATGGTGTTAACGAACGTTTTTAATTGCAACTAAAATTTAGTCTCAATAAAAACCTTTGCTTGACCCAAAATGTAAATTTTGTCTAAGTAAAATGAAATTTTAATTGAACGAAAGTCAGTACAAACATAAATAAAATATTTGTGCAAAATTAAAAGTGCAGTGTGTAAATCGTAGTGCCATCTAGCGGTGAGGTTGCGAGTCGCAACCAACGGCTCAGTCCACCGCTCACCCCTCCCTTTAGAGAAGCTATGGTAGCCCACACAGGAATAAGATGACGTCGTCTGAGACAGCAGATGTTTCTTTACAAAGGTAAATTAAGGAATTATATGAAGAGTTCCAATGCAAAAGCCTCTAAAAGCCATCTTGGTCAAAAATTAGATAATGATACTGAGTGAATGCTCTCCACACATAGTATATGTTCATACTTTCACTTCAAAGGCGCTAAATCCCAGCCTCAACCCATTCAGAAGTACCAGTGTTTGCATAGAAGCCTATACATAGTAGTCAGAAAGAAATGCACATTTTAAAGAA